CATGTTTGAAAGGATATTCAAAATTAAAAATTAATATAAATGATTAAATTATATTTTATGAAAAAAAATATTAAAATAAATTATTTTAATTTATAATTCTTATTAAAAATAATTTAAATAAAATTTTAAAAAATTGATTGACAAGTTCAAATCAATTTAATTAATTATTTATTGATTTTATCGATATTGAATTAATCTACTAATTTTTCACCGATTCACTGCCAAAAAGATTTAGGACCTATTTTTGCTCATATCGGTCTAAATTACCGGGTTGAACAGATTTTCAAAATCACGTAATCCGTTTCACTTAATCCATTAAATTTTGAATCAATATATCCAATGGTTAAGAAAGTTCTAGCACACCCTAGAATCCGTGTGCAAAGCAATAAATAAGAAACAAGTTATTTAAGGGAGAAATAAAAGTTCTTGGAAAATGAAATTCAAAAGAATTGAAATGGTCACGTGTACAATAAAAGCTGCATAAATAAAGTGGATGAATGCTCTGCACTACGATGTGACAACACAATCACATGTTGATAAAAGCACTAGTCATATGGGAAGACACACTTCATATTTTTCGATACTCCCTCATTTTTTTTATAGTCATTTTACGAGATTTTGTTTTTTTTATCGTCACTTTTCTAAAATTAATAAATTATTAATTTTTTTTTTCATTTTTATCCTTGATAATTAATACATATTTATTAAATAATATGTTTATTCAGTTTCTAATAATGCTATTATTTATTCTCCAATTACTTAAAAGGTATAACAGGAAAATATGTCATAAATACTTTAAAAAATTATAGTATCAATAATTGTCTTAATTCTTGTGCATAATCTTAAAGACAATGAAAAAAAATAGAGGGAATACTTATTTAAAAATATAATTAAAATAAAGATAAATAATTATAACACGTAACTCTATATTTAGTTGTAAAAGAAAAATAAGTAAAAATAAAGTATAAAAAAGTGGAAAAAAAAAAAGATTAAAAAAACAATATTATATTATCTGATAAAATATTGGAAAGAAATATGAGAAATAAAAATAAAAAGTGAAAAATAAATTATTTAGTAAAGAAAATAAACAAGAAAATTAAGAAAAGAATAAAAAATAAAAAAATATTTTAATTTATAATATTTTTTTTAATAAACTAAATTAAAACATTTATTTCCTTAGCATATTCAAATGCGTGAGTTATTAAAAAAAAAAAAAAAAAAGGCAGCAATACATAACAAATGATTATTTTATTCGATGAATGTTTGCTTTATTCGGATATATCTTTTGTACAAGAAATTTCTTTGTTATTTCTCACTAATTAGGGATGTATTTTTTTTTTTGGTTCGTCCCTGAAATATCCACCGCCGACTCGCTACGTTGGAGGCACCTCAAAGGGTAGGATAGCTGGCCCCAAGATTTAACGCGGCTGCATACATAAGGCAGGATTCGAACCCCTGACCTTGCTTAAGCGTGGATCAACCCCTACCGCTGAACCACACGCTTGGGATTAATTAGGGATGTATTTGATTTTATATTATAAATTATTAAAATAAATGTTTTTAATATTTAATGTATAAAATATTAAAACAATGAAATTATTGTTTTAAAGTGAAATAAGTTAAACTGAACCCAACTTTTATTAAAAAAATATTGTGAAAATAAAAAAAAGTGTGAGTCTCTCATTTTTACTCATACTCAACTCACATGCTTATTTTTGCTCATTTTTCACCTTCATTTTTTACATACCCAACTCACATATTCATTTCAACTCTCTCTTTTATTAATTGTCTATTTTTAGGTTACCAAACACACAAAAAGGGAGAAAAACAAGTATTCGAATAATTGTTATGGTTGTTTTAAGAAAAGAATGAAAGAGTAAATAAAAAGTGGGTGAATTAAGGGTAAAATAAATTCTCTATAAATACTAAAATATGACCATCTTTGTAAATAATAGAGAAACAGGAGTAATTTGTGTTGATATATGTTTATTTGAAGAAAAAAAATAGAAGATGATGGTAAGTATTTGTGTTTAGATATTAAGTAATTTGTAATAAATTAAATTATACTTTTGATTTTTTATCTTATTTTTTTATATTTATTTTGATCATTTATTTGTTAAAATATTTGTTTTTGATTATTTATTTTTTATATTTGAATTAATTTTATCTTTTTAAAATAATAATATAAAACACAATGTTAAATCAATTTTTAACTAATTTAAAACATAAAACTTATAACATTATATTCAATTATATAAAAATTATTAAATGTAATCAACATTTGAATCCAAAAAACTTAAAACATGGCCAAAAAAATGTGCAAAAACCATGTCTCATAAACAACTAAAACTAAAAAATAGTATGAAATTATATTTTCAATTTTTTTAACTTATTTTTATACGATTTTCATCATATGTTTATAACATTTTTTCTATCCAAACTTCAGTTACATCCAATAGTTTTTACATAACTAAATCTAACGATATAAGCTTCAAATTTTGAATTAATTAGAAAATAGTCCAAAATTGAAAATAATTATTGTTTCAAAATAATCAAATTGGTCTAAATTTAAGAAACCAATAACAAAAAAAACATTTTAAAAGATAAATGACTAAAATAAATTTAATATATAAAATAAAAGATAAAAATATAATCTAACATTTTAATAATTATAAGAGTATAACGGTCTAAAAAAAATGGTGTCAAAAAAAATTAAATTACACAATTTGGTATCCTCTTTATCTATACTATATAAATTATAACGTAAAAAAGATGTAAGGTCTTTGTATATATATATATATAT